AAGTTAACTACCGCTCCCCTATTAGCCTTGCCAAATTTCGATAAAGTTTTTACGATCGAATGTGACGCCTCTATTGTTGGCATTGGGGCTGTCTTGTCACAAGAAAACAAGTCTGTTGCGTTTTTTAGTGAAAAGCTTAGCGAGGCAAGACAAAAGTGGTCCATTTATGAATTGGAATTTTACGCAATTTATCGTTCTATTCAGCACTGGGAGCAATATCTTTTTCACAAAGAGTTTGTTCTTTTTACCGATCATCAAGCGTTAAAATATTTTAACAACCAACAGAAAATTAATCGTATGTATGGACGTTGGATTTCGTATCTTCAACATTTTTCTTTTGTTTTGAAACATAAATTCGGGGAGCAAAATAAGGTGGCAGATGCTTTAAGTCGACGAGCTGCTTTGTTGGTCACCTTGAAATCAAGTATTATTGGGTTTGACCACTTAAAAGAATTTTATGCCGATGATGAAGATTTTAAGGACATTTGGAACAATCCGATACAACATCCCATGCTGAAAGTTGATGGCTATCTTTTCTACAGTAATCGTCTGTGTATTCCTCGCACTTCTTTACGTGAGGAACTTATTAAGGAGTTGCATGGCGGTGGTTTGGGAGGACTTTTTGGACGAGACAAGACGTTCGCCTTACTAGAGGAACATTACTATTGGCCGCAGTTACGTCGTGATGTCGGGCGATATATCGCTAAATGTATTGTTTGTCAAACTGCCAAGGGTCAAGCTCAGAATACCGGTTTATACACTCCTCTTCCCATTCCCGATGGTCCCTGGGAAGACATCTCCATGGACTTCGTGTTAGTATTGCCTAAGACCGTTCGGGGTAACGATTCCGTCTTTGTGGTGGTGGATCGTTTTTCTAAGATGGCGCATTTTATTCCTTGCAAAAAGACGAATGACGCTTCTCATATTGCGATGTTGTTTTTTCGCGTGGTGGTACGCTTACATGGTGTTCCTTCCACCATCACTTCTGATCGTGACACTAAATTTTTAAGTCATTTTTGGAGGACATTATGGCGCCTGTTTCAAACCGCTCTTCAGTTTAGTACCTCTTTTCATCCACAAACAGACGGTCAGACAGAAGTTGTTAACAAGACTCTAGGTAATTTGATTAGATGTCTTTGTGGGGATCGACCAAAGCAATGGGATCAGTTCTTAGCGCCTGCTGAGTTCGCTTTTAATAACATGATCAATAGATCCACGGGCAAATTCGCGTTCCAAATCGTTTACCAGCGCCCTCCTAAGCATGCTGTTGATCTTATTGCGCTTCCAAAGTTTCCAGGCCATAGTCTTGTTGCCGAAAATTTCGCTCAGAAAATGGAAGCAATACAATTTGAAGTTAAGAATAAACTTGCAACTACTAATGCTACATATAAGTATGCACGTGACAAGAGTAGAAGGGAAAAGCTGTTTCATGAGGGCGATTTAGTAATGGTGCACTTACGCAAGGAACGTTTTCCGGTTGGTACGTACAACAAGTTGAAGATGAAGAAGATTGGACCTTGCAAAGTCCTAAAGCGCATCAATAACAATGCTTATATTATCGACTTACCTGATGATCTTTCCATCTCCTCTACCTTTAATGTCTCCGATTTAACCGCATTTCATCCTGATGATCATTTATATCCTACCATGAACTCAAGGTCGAGTTTCGTTCAACCTGGGGAGAATGATGAGGTGGTTATGGTACAGCTGGTCCGTAACCACAAAGAGAAAGGGTAGAGCCCAAGTAATTGGTTAATAAGTTTCCTTAATGTTGAGTCTTTTTTTATTTTCTTTCCTTATTTATTTGTTTTGTTTCCTTGTGTCAAAAGTATTAGAGTTCTAGTAGGTTTACGTTTAAGAGTCTTTAAATACCTGCACCTTTATTTGTAATGTGGATGTTCTGTTTTGATTAATAAAAAGAGTCTGAAGACTGTCATCTTCAAATCCGAGCATCTCACGTTCGATACACGTAAAGTATCACGAGTTTACAAAGTGTTTGACAATACACTTGACAAATTGTCTATTTCTGTAGTTCAATCTACATCAAACAAGTATCAGATTGGTTCCGTGTTTGGGATTTAACTATGATATAAAGTGAAATTTCATATCTTTACGCTTCCGAGCTTGTGAGAAGTATTGGGTATTGCTGGGAAGTTTACACAGAACTTAATGCAACTTTTCTGATCTTAATTAAGAGCTTGTTTTATTAGACGGTAAAAAGTTAGAGTTAACTGAAGAGCTTTTTTGGTTAATTTAACTAGGTAAAAGAGATTATACTAGAGCTTGTTAGTTTGTTAGCTTGTTAGTTTTTCTCGGTACCAGCTGTGACATCCCCATTTTTCACGGCCAGAAAAGACCGATTTTGTTTATGGTTTATAAAAATCAGAGTACTTCTTTTGATAAAAATGTTGCGGAATTTGTTCCCAGTAAAACATGATAAATACGTTATCAAAGCATTTCCGAAGAAATGTATTTTTATTCATTTTAAAACATTTGGGATGTCATTGTTAATACATAAACATAAGCATAAACAGAACTTACATTCATTTACACTAGTGATTACATCTCTTTAATCTCTCAGTGTAATGTAACTTCATATCGACACCTGTGATACAAATAAGCTTGAGTGGGTCAGGTTGGGAAACCTGGTGAGTACATAGGGTTTTCAACCCACAATAATTTATTTATTATGTTTAAACATCAAACAATCAACCCAATTACCCATCCCCATTATCTTCCTTACTCTTAAGGTCTACCCTAAGAGTCATCTATCCTGCATTCGTTCATTCCGAAGTCCATTGCTTTCAGGGTTTATATGACAGACACTAAGTCCATAGCTGCCAATGCTCGTTCGTAAAGCACTAATTCCATAGTTGCTGAAGTTCATTCATCGGGGTACTAAATCCACAGCTACCGGTGTTTATCTAATAGGTACTAAGTCCATAGCTACCAACGTTTATCTAACAGGTACTAAGTCCATAGCTACCAACGTTTATCTAACATGTACTAAGTCCATAGCTACCAACGTTTATTCAATAGGCACTAAGTCCATAGCTGCCGATGTTATTTGTTAGGCACTAAGTCTATAGCTGCCAATGTTCACTCATATCATCTTTCATCTCTCATCATTCATCTACCCATGTTTTACCCAACATATTCGTAGATATAAAATACATATACAGTTTAAATTATTTAAAACATGTATAAAATCGTTCATCCAACATAGATAGCAAGTATACAGGTTATATGCACACATAGCACGTAATTTATATAAAACACTTCATATCTATGTGTAAGATGAAAGCAACTATGCACTCACTTGTTAAAGTGATGATTCCAAACTCGGACAGTGCTTCGCTTCTTAACAATATAATTTCCTTCGACGAAACCTAGTATTATTACCACTAGATTTTAGTCTAATATTTATTGCGAGTAATTATTAGTATAGATTCGTCATTACCTCGGAGTCTACTTCATGATCTATCAAGTAAGGAACAACCAGGTAGGATCATATCGAAGGTAGGGCCCGTTTGGTATACGAAGTATACTGTTTGGAAATCTCACTTTAAACACCTCACTAAATCACAACCTAGACATCATCCCCGTAAGTAGATCAATCAGTATAACGACTTTGAATCACTGATAAATATTATTTATAGGTTCATAATAACGTTATTATATTTAAATATAATCTATATTTAAAGTAGGGTAGACGTATCTCACTTACAGCGGGTTTTGCTAAAAAATCGGGTACCGCTGGAGCAGAGCTTCTGAGCCGAAAAGCTCTTTTTCTCTGAGCCTTCGGGCGCTACGGGTCTTTTCTCTAGCAACTTGAGGTTACTAGGGATTTAGAGGGGGTTTGGGAGTCTAGAGAGAAGTTAGAGAGAGAAAGAAAGGTTTATGGTGTGAAGAAAATATGAAGAGTTCATCTCTTATTTATAGGGGTTTTATCGTAGAGTAGACCCTAAATTTCATCCGTATCTTCCGCGTACGAGTTCCGTTTTCTACGTTCTTTATATCCACGCGTTGGTATTTACGAGTACTACAACTTTCATTTAGACCTCGTCGACCAATTCTCATTCTATCTCCGATTTGCAAAACTGTATCGAATTTATCGCGCTCGAAGAGTAGGGACTAAGTTTCATTCATATCTTTCACATACGAGCTCCGTTTTCGACTGTATTTTTATCGTTGAGCTCCTATTAACGAGATCTTCAATTCTCGTTTAGACTGTTTTGGTTAAAAATCGACCGATCTAAAGTTCGAATTTCGGGCTGTGCACTGCTATGCTAAATCTTAGAAAAATTATAACTTCATCATACGAAGTCAGATTTGGACGTTCTTTTTATGCATACTCTCGGTTTGACATATACTACGACTTTCGTTTAGATTACTAAGGTTAGAAAGTATTTTATCGTAAATTCACTTTTTACGATTCCCGGTGTCGTGCCGGTTTTGTCGTAAAACTTCGACGGGTCATAACTTCTTCGTTATAACTCGGATTTCAGCGTTCTTTATATGTACGGAACCCTTGTGACATATACTATAACTTGGTCAAGATTATTGATTTTAAATAATCTTATATCAAAAAAAATTTATTTTTGACGCTGATTGTCTCTAAATTGACTAGCCGGAATCTGCGGGCGTTACACCAGCTTAGATAGAACACATTATAAATAACCAGATCTGAGCTGATTGCATGATTAGGAAAATCGCAGCAGAGTTGAAATCGTTTTTATTATTGAGTTTTATTTAATTTATTTTTATTGCAATTTTTAGTTTTTAGTTTAATTCAAAAACCCCCTTTTATAATTTCTGTTTTTTTTGCTAGAATGTACATGATGCAAAAATGCATTGACCGTTAGGATGTATCCCTGAGGATTCGACCCTAGTTCCCCGTGCTATCCATTAGTGCAACCAACAGTGAAATTGTATTTACTTAATACGTCTGCGACAATGTGTTAACAAATCGGTGTCATTGCCGGGGACACGATGTAACCATGACGGAAATGTAAGGGCGTTTTATATATATAACTAGATTAATTGTATTAAAAAAGAAAATAATTTAAACTGAAATCAATCAGGGACCTAATGTAAAATTTATTTATATTGCAAATGTACGGCCTGGTGTATACAAAGTAAATTATTTATACTAAAAAAGAAAAGGATTAAAACTGAAATTAAAATATAAAATGAGGGACCATAAATGTAAAATTAATTCATATTATTGAATTGGAATATATTGATTTAATAAATCGGTTGTTGCAGGAGGTAATGATTTAAATTGACCTATTATTCGTTGGTCATTGGTGTGATTAGCAACACCCGCTATTTAAATAAGCAATGCAAACGTCCCTTTATCATTAATAAAATGGAAAACATAAAGTAATGTAAAAGAATTTGCTTACGTGTTGTTCGGTGTTAGGGCCAGAGAACTTTGAATTTCAAGGCGGTCCACATGCCCATTGTAAGACTTTTCAGTTTTAATATATCAAAGTCACTCACTAGAAGCTCTTCTTCGATCTCTTTACCGAAAACCGAAAGGCAACCACAACAATCGAGATCAACTACCTGCACATAATAGGTAAGAATGCCCAAGTTCAAGTATATATTTCGATTGAATAAGCTCTTTGTTATATGAGTATGATGATTTTGAATCGATTTGATTTTAACAATATTGATTATTAGCTGTTCGATTCTTCTGATCACTAGTCATTTTGCGTAAGACTGCTAATTGTGAACTTCAAAATTGATAGAATTATTTGATTAAAATGGAATAAGAACATAAAGTTGCCATCGATATGATAATGCTTAGGGCTTGGTCACTTGATTTATAAATATGTTTAACATAGAATATAGATGTGTTATAATTCAGCTATATTTATGTGTTGTACAATGTCATTGTAGGAGTCCATCTATTTGATTTTCGTAGCTCGGATAATGTATAATCATCTGTTATGTCCATGTCATTATCTGATGATGAAGTTTGGTTAAACAGTTGGCTAGCAGGAAAAAAGAAATCACCACTACAGATCCAAACAAACAAGGAAACAGTCCAGAATGCATATCAAACCACTGAAACATGTGAGGATCTTCACCCTTATAAAGATGGAAGGATCAGTACAGATGGCATCTGCTTTTATCTTTCTTATCAACTTTCTACTTGTGGTAGATAGATCAGAGGGGGATTCCAGATCTCAAGTCATTAGAATAACATGTTCTCAGCAGCTTACGAACAATCAAACACAATACATTCCGAACTTTGTCAAGACAATGGAGAAAATTAGCACCCAAATCCAAACTACACACCAAGGAACAGCACTTACAGGCACGGGAGATAATAGTAACTATGGATTAGCTGAATGCTATGGCGATCTTTCTACAGAAGATTGTATCCTATGCTATGCGGAAGCACGTACAGTTCTTCCCAGTTGCTTTCCTAATAACGGGGGCCAAATTTTTCTTGATGGCTGCTTCATGCGAACAGAGAACTACTTCTTCTATGAGGAGTATGCAGGAGCAGACGACACAGTAATATGTGGGAATACAACAATGTTTGGTGGATCTTTGGATTCAGCAAAGCAGGCCATATCAGATGCTGCAAGGGATGCACCAAGAAACAGGGACTACTTTGCACGGAAGGTGGCATTTTCGGGGACAACAAATGAGTCTACATATGTGCTGGCAGACTGCTGGGGGACTTTGAATGAGAGTTCTTGTTCAAAATGTTTGGAGAAAGCATCTGCATCGATCTTTCGATGCTTGCCTTGGTCTGAGGGACGTGCACTCCACACCGGATGTTTTATGAGGTATTCTACTACCAATTTTCTCAATGCTGACCCAACCAGGGGTAATAATGGAGGTAATTGCAGTTTCTTTCTGTATTTTAGTTGATTTATACCAAAATAGTTGATTTTGAGATTCTTCATACCAAAGCTCTTAATTTTGAGGAGTTATAAGGAACTAAGAAGTTGCTGATTTGAGGCTGTTTATATCAAAATTCACCCACCCAACCAACATGCTAATTTTAAGGTGTTCCAAGAGTTGATAAATTTGGGTTCTTCCTCAAAGTTCTATTAGTTTGTATATTATTGTATAGGTTCTAGTTAGACGCATGTGAAACATCCCTGGCATGGGCTATCCTAAAATCTATCATAGGACTTCCATTTTTAAATGTCTCAACATATTTAAAAGTTTAATCATGTAGAAATGAGGTACTAAAGTCCAAAATAATGTTTGTTGTTACAAAATGCGTGGAAAGTAACAAATAACACCAAAACACAATTTAAGTAACAAATGAACCGACAGGGGTTTGGGGCAGCGCCCCTGGTAGCGGGGTTCAAAGGGTGATAGTTTTTACCTTTTTCCTGAAACCCAATTTTGTGATAGTTTTGTGTCGGTTAGTTGATGTTTGTACTGTTTTGTGACAGTTTTTTATGCCAGTTTTCAGACAAGGGATAATACCCGTTTTTGGTCCTAGTTCTGGTACAATTAAGAACATAATATTCCATCATTCTCTTTGTTCGAAACCACTGAATTTTATCCAATTGAACTTTCAATTTGTACAATCGAATACTTCAATTTGAAAGTTTTTCATGATTTTCAGTGGATTCCAAACAATCGATTTACCCTAAATTTCTAACATAGTAGCAAGGGCTCAGTATCCATGATCAAATTATCTTCTCCATGTTTCAGTCTTTTACTTCCCTTTAGTCACTGCACATTCTTGCAAATATCAGTTTTTTATCTTGAATAACTTAAGAGACAGAAGTAATGTTCCAATGATATAATGGATTTGTATATGTGATTGTGTCATACTTTTTGGCTTGTAGCTTCTCAATTCTTTCAGATATACTAAGCATTTATGATTTCTTAGTCCTTTTCTTGTTTTTGAAACAAATAGCCTATCAGAATATGTCTCAGCCTTCGTTTTGTCCTTGGCGTTGGGGTCGGAATTAGGTATACTAACTCTAACCGCCTTTGTCCATTGGCAACTGGCTTTCTGTTTCTTGACATTTTATTTCATTATAGCAAATTTAGGAGCATTTTAAGTTGGAGTTTCTATGATTGGCCATGTTAGTTCCAAAAGGCCCTCAGCATGCCATGCAACTTTTTCATGGACATTTCAAAGTTGTTCGTATCAAAATCAGAGTGCACTGATTATATATACATTTCAGCTAATTGATTATGAAAACCATAGTCAACTTTGAACTTAATGAAATTCCATTTTACTTCAATATGTTAGTGTACAACTTACATTTACCGTCTGTTCCTTCCTACAACTTATGACTCAATAGCTAGAGGAACCTCAGGAAGAGCTTCATTTAGGGTTTATTTACTCTTTTCGTACACAAGAACTTTTCTCAAGTCACGAATTTGGTTAATATCGAGTAGCCCAAATTAGCTTATCCTTTTAGAAGTTTTATAACAGTAAAAATTTTGGTGGACAAATTTTGTTTATTATAGACATCATTCAATACAAAATCATTTAAATAAGACTAGGATCCATATTTCACTTCAAGATGCAAAGTGGATTAGCCGAAATCACACCAAAAAGCTATTTAGGTAGGCAAACTGTTCGCCAGGTTCAATCTCTATGAAACTCTTAGATCTGCCAAGATTTATTGACTTGTGTCAATAGCATGTTAATCTCTTCCATGCTCCCCCTCACAAATGTTGGGAATACTTTAATCTATGATTATTATCTTTGAGTGATTGTTGTTTTGCAAATCTTTTGGTTCTTATCAGATCAGTAGGGACAATCAACGAGCCTCCTCCTTGAGCATCTTCAACCGATGAGCATCCTTCTTGAGCATCTTCAACTTGTGATCCCTGATGCTCACTCGTGATTCATGATGCTCACTCGTGATTCATGATGCTCACTTGTGATTCTTGATGCTCACTCGTGATCTCTGGTGCTCACACATGTTTCCAAGTGCTCCTTGAATTTGATAAAGTCTTCACACCCTAAAAAAAGGTTCACAACAGAAGCAATAAAACAATAACCTCATAAGCCAAAACGGATCCATGTTCAGCCAGATCTATTATTGTAACTAAATAAACAAGAAGAATCTAGAAACACATACCCTTGTAGTCCCTTGTACACTTCATGAATCTTGATGGAAGGAGAGTGCTAAGAGCTTAACATAGAGCTCCTATTTCGTAGTCGCACCCAAGGAACATATCAACAACCTCTGACATCACCCAAGCAGTGAACACCTTGAACGCAAACTTTGAATCTGAATTGCGTTGCGGACGCGCCATATCTATCGAGAAAAGTGAGGGTTTCAAGAATAAATAGTGGCTGTTAATTTTTAGGTTAGGGTTTGTGAAAAACTCATCTTAAAATCTGGCCATAGACCCTTCTATTTATATGGAAGGGTTTTTGTCTTTTTGAACTCTTAGTGATAATTACTTTGTCACTACGTAATTATCCTAAGTTTGATAGTTATCCTAAAAGATTTGACTTTGAAATCTTTACACTTTAAACCCCTTAAGTATACAAGTTTCTTATTAATTAATTAAATCTTTAATTAATTAACAAACTAGACCCCAATAATATTCTCGTGTCATTAGTTTCTTATTTTTGTCTTTGTGTATAACCCAAAAGGACCCCACGATTAATAGTAATATTATCAACTGTTGTGACTGTGGACACTCTTCCAATAGTAACACACATCGACTTTGTATGTCGCATGCAGAAAGGTTTATATGTACATCAAGTGCATGGTCTTGGTATTTCACACATATAGGGTCCCAAAAAAGAAAATTAGATTCCCCTTCCCATTATTTTTTATTGAGGACAGTCTTTGGCATGCCTATTGCTTTGTGTTTAGGATATTTTACTCATTGCATCCACTTCCGCTCTCCTGCAGGTATATATCACATCATTCAACAAATAATTTTCCATGACTGATTTGGGTTCTCTCGGTTATATTCTTGACAGTCCGCTAAGCGAAGCAAACAAAGGTTTCTTCCTTTGTCAAAGCCAATATGCCTATGCTACTAACATCCTCAAATAACATGTCAATCTGCTAAATTGCAATACCAACTATACTTCTATGCCTCTATGGATACTTAATCCAAACTCGACTCATGGCATCCCTGGTGAAACATCCCAAAATTCATAGCCAAAAATTTTATTTTTAATTAAGTAAGTATAAAACCAGTAGTCTGAAACATCCATAGTGTTAACTCATTTCATAATAAAAAATCAGTATTTCAAATAACTAAAACATGTCATAGAAAAGTATTATCAGAGTACAACTCCCAAAGATCTCATAATGCGGAAATCATAGTGTGATGCGTTGCGATCCTGCCGGCTCCTTTCCTTTTGAAAAAAAAATACCTGAAACCAAAACTAAAAACCGTAAGCACGAAGCTTAGTGAGTTCCCCCATCATACCACATACCATACAAATAACATACTGTCAGGCATATCTGGGTGCTGGCCTACCCCTTCGGTCTCTTTCAACTGGTAACCGCCTAGCATATCTAGGTGCTGGCCTACCCCTTCGGTCTCTTTCAATCGGTAACCGCCTAGCATATATGGGTGTCGGCCTACCCCTTCGGTCTCTTTCAGCCGGTTACGGGGACTATTTCACCCCTACCACTACCACATAACATCCTAGCCTATAAACACATAATCACATACTGCCTAGCATATCTGGGTGTTGGCCTACCCCTTTGGTCCTTTCGACCGGTAATGGGGACTATTTCACCCCGTATTACTACTATATATCATTCTAGTACATAAACACATAAGTCACATACTGCCTAGCATATTTGAGTGCTGGCTTACCCCTTCGGTCCTTTCGACCAGTAACGGGGACTATTTTACCCTCTTCTACCACTATCACATAATATCATAGCATACTAGCACATAAAACATAACAGATAGTGGTATACCAGACAATTATCACAAAGACAATCATCTCTACTATAATCACCTACTAGTGGGCCGACCTTGGTGCCTTAGACCCACTTATACTGGAAGGTAACTCACCTCATACTGCTGAAGTCCATTGCAGGAAATCTTTAGTTGCTGTCCTGGCAACTCCCTGGGCTATCAACACCAAAACATCACCCAATTAGCAATTGGGTTCCAAACCATGATCCATAATCCTTACTTGGGGTAAAATGACCATTTTACCCCTGGCCCAACAAGACTCATAATTAAGACCCAAGCCCAAAACCAATAAGGTCCAAAACCATAATATCCATAAAAGCCCAATATATGGCCCAATTTCCAATTAGGCCCCATCCCTTCGCATAGGCCTCAAACTAGGGCCCAATAATGCTTCTTTAGTCCAAATGGTCCAAATCAAAGTCGAAGTTAATGCTCCGAGTTGACTCAACTCGTCAAGTTTGCTCTTTAACTCGCCGAGTTCTCATGAATCTCAAAATCGTGACTTTTCGCATCAACTCGTCGAGTCCTCCCACAACTCGTCGAGTTTTTCCTTTTCAGAATCGGGACATTTCAAGAACAACTCGTTGAGTTCTCTCATGAACTCGCCGAGTTCTTTAGTCTGTTAAGCCCTTCTTAATGGATTAAGCTCCTATCCTTCAGATCTAAGCTTCATACTTCATATTCATACTGAAAATGTCCTTTTAAGGGTAAAGTTTCCAACTTCATCCATTAATACCCTTCCTTAATGGATTTAGCTCAAACCCTAACTCTTTAAGACCTAGATCTTGATCCAAAAGTCATTAACACTTCAAGCTAAGGCATACAAACTGAGATCTAGACCCTAGACAGTTCATGAACACATAAAGTCTCTGACTTTCTCTCCATACATGGCTTTTTGGAGCTTAAAAGGCCAAAATGGCATCCTAAAGCTTGCATGGGGCTTCAATGGCCATAAAGTTTGCACCTTTATGCTGAAAGCCCTTTAAGGTCCTAGATCTGAAAGTATACTCACTTGGGACGTCCATTTCCCAAGGACCATGCTACTTGGACCAAAACCCAATAAAAATGAAAGTGAATAGATCTAAGTAATCATTAAGCAAGTTTGAGACTTGCTTACCAGAAAATGCTTCAAATGGAGTGGAGTTTCTTGATCTATAATCTCCTTCTTGAGTCCTCAAGCTTCTCCTTCTTCCTCAAGCTTCACATACACAAGATTTCTTTCACAAATGGCTCACAAGCTCACACGATCTAGGGTTTGGGACTTGGAGGCTGGAAATGAGGTCAACTTATAGGGGTTAAGGTGTTTAAATAGGGTGAAAAGTCCCGATTTTAGGGTTTCCCAAACCCAGTCCAACTCGTCGAGTTGGTCTTCCAAAACGCGCGATCCAGCATTCCAACACGTCGAGTTTTCATCCTTGAACTCGACGAGTTGGCTCCTTAATTGAAGTTTTTCTTTCCTTAATTAGTCTTCTTGATTCCAGGTGTTATACCTGGTCAATGACCCATGTTGTATGGTAGCCTTTTTGGGGAACTTCAACATCTAATACTCACCTGCAAGACTTAGCATATGTCGTCCAAAAAATGTTCATGTTATCAACGAGCCAATAGAATCACACCTCAACTCCTTGTAGGCACTCTTATCATGGATTACAATTATATACTCACCTGCAAGACTTAGCATACGCTAATGCTTATGAGAATGGAAGTCCCGCTAATCCGGTCACTTTGTTTTCTTTGGTGATGATTTACTCTTATGGTCATGCAAATGCCAAGCAATCATTTGATGCTTAAGTGTTAAAGCAAAAAACCGTGGGGTGGCTAATGTTGTATCGAACCCTGTGACTAAACAATCTTCTTGGGAGCTCCAGTCACCACTTGTTAAAGCTACCATCGCAAACTGTTATAATGTAAATGTTGTCTACCTTCCTACCAATCCAATCAGCATCAAAATGACCAGACACATTGAGATAGACGTTCACATCGTGTGTGCCAAGGTAGCTACAAGTCAAGTTTTAGGTTCTTCACATGCCCTCTAGCCTCCAATATGCAAACATCTTCACAAAGGGCCTACCACACTCGTTTTTCTATGAGTTTAGATCTAGTTTGAGCTTTTAATATAAGTCTCCCAATCCAAGGGGTAGGGATATTAGACTAGAAATATTAGGCTCAGTCTGTTTATATGTAGCATGTTTTATTTTATATTGCTTAATGAAAGCTCTCGAGATTATGGGAGAATACTGAATGCTTAAATCCAGTAAGTTCACCCTCCAAAACAACAAAGTATCTTTTTTAGGAGACAGCCAAATGACCGATTAAAACGAAAAACATTGCTAACAACCTAAAAAAATAAAATTTTCAAAACATATTTCTTCGGTAGTTGAGTGTTAGGGTTTAAGCACTTCAACAAATGATAAACGGTTTCATAGAGAATAATAAATGCAAAACGAAAATAATATACAATTAATTTACATGGTTCACAAGATCAGAGTGATGGGCTATGTCTGCAGGAGGCGAACACGTTCGAGAGTGATAGTATTAATATTGCCGAATGGCTTTCAGATATATTAGGTTACACAAATTCATGGGATATAATAAAGACAAGAAAATTGACCTAAAACTGCCAATAAGGCCAAGTCCGAAAAACTCTTACAAACTGGCCCATGACGAAATCTGAAGGCGAAACTGATATGGGAACTAACCCACGAAAAATTTCTTCCTCAAGGGAGTTTGTATATATATTCATCCATCTCACCCTAAATTTTTAATTGTAAATGCATCAGCTGGAAATGCCAAAAGCCAAGTGGTCCAAAGGAATTGTCAAAATCAGGTACTGAACAACGGAACCAAATTCACTCAGAACTTCATCCAGGCAATGGCCGACATCAGCAGCAAAATGCGAACTTCACAATTTGGAACAGTAGTTACAGGCACAGCGCCTGATAGGACCTATGGACTTGCTCAGTGTTATGGTGATCTTTCTACCGGTGAATGCAACTTATGCTATGCTGTAGCAAGTAGTTCTCTTCCAGGTTGCTTACCCAGCAATGGTGGTCGGGTTTATCTCACTGGTTGCTTCATGAGATATGAGAATTATAGCTTCTTTGAGGAGCATACAGGTCAAGAAGACAGAGTTATATGTGTGAATAAAACAAGGAGAAACAATGACTTTGAACAATCAGCCTCCAAGGCTGTGTTTCAAACAGTGGAAGCTGCACCTAAAAGTAAAGAGTACCATGCTGGAAAACAGGCTCTTATTTCTGGGACAGCTAATAAATCAGTGTATGCAATGGCTGATTGCTGGCGTACATTGGATACAGATTCTTGTGCGTATTGTTTGCAAAAAGCAGCTACATCCATGTTAGGCTGCTTGCCTGAGTCGGAGGGGTATGCATTGTATGCTGGTTGCTTCATCAAGTATTCTGACTCCAATTTCTTATATCCTGATGATCACAAGACACTATCTAAAGGCAAGTCAATTAATTGATCCTTTCTATTCTTGGCAGGGGTTGTATTTGTATAAATGCTCTGTTAAAGATATATTGGAGGTTTTGGTTGATTGATCATTTCTACTGTTTATGGTGATGCAGGGAAAATAATAGCTATTGTAATGGCTGTTACTTCTGCTCTAGTATTCTTAATTGCGAGTATTATTGCTTTTTATGCATGGAAGCACAGAAATAAATCAAAAAGAAGACGACAAGGTATGAGTTGTCTCTCATTCTTTGACTATTATTAGGTTCTATATGAAAGCAAAAAACAATGTTGATACAAGTTGTGGAATGTTTTTATTTCCTTAACATTGATTTTAGGTTCTGATGACACTCCATTGTTGATGATGGTGAACAATAGCAACTTGAACTTCAAATATTCCATCATCGAGAAAGCCACGGGTTCTTTCGATGAGGTGAATAAGCTTGGTCAAGGCGGATTTGGAACGGTATACAAGGTATATATTTGATAAAAGAACGTATGAATGTTTTTCTTATGTATGATTTGGATTCTTGGTTTATGTTGTTTTGTTTTAGAGATACCAAATGACATTAATTACACAATGCAATTTGTGACAGGGAGTTCTTCCAGATGGAAGAGAGATTGCTGCCAAGAGACTTTTCTTCAACCAGCGACATAGAACAGGGGACTTCTATCATGAAGTCAACATCATTAGTAGTGTTGACCACAAAAATCTGGTGAAACTGGTAGGATTCAGCTGTTTGGGGCCTGAAAGTATTCTCATTTATGAATATCTACCCAACAAGAGTCTCAATTATTTCATCTTCGGTAATTCTTCAAATACTTAAATTGCTGGCATTCTGCCTCTTGATCATGATGAGTTGATGAGAATGGGATTTAATTCTTTATGAACTTGTTGTACAGATGCAGTTAGAGGTAAGGAACTAAACTGGGCGAAAAGATTTGATATTATAGTGGGAATAGCAGAGGGTTTGGCCTACCTTCATGAAAACAGTAAAACCAGGATCATTCACAGGGATATAAAAGCTGCTAATATCTTGTTGGATTCAAGACTTCGTGCTAAGATTGCTGATTTTGGATTAGCCAGGTCCTTTCAAGAAGATAAAAATCATATCAGCACTGGGATTGCAGGAACACTGTAAGCACTACCTTCAAGTATTTTAACCTGAAAAAAAAGATCTATGCATTCAAGCTCTCCAACATACATCACACATCACACCCAAACTATTTCCTTGTGAAATTGAATTAATGTATTTCTCACGCATTCTCTTTTATTGTTTCCAGTGGATATATGGCTCCAGAGTATGTACTCAATGGTAAGTTAACAGAAAAGGTGGATGTATATAGCTTTGGTGTGCTTTTGCTTGAGGTGATTACTGGAATCCCAAACAGAGGAACACAAACATCAGATGACACTCACAGCTTGCTTACAATTGTAAGTAACCAAGTCTTTTATTTAATTATAAACATCAAGACACACCTTTTTGTATGTATGACAATAAATTCATATAAAAGGTTTGAGTAGCTGATCATTCTTTCATTGGTGATGTAATAGACATGGAGGCATTTTTCAGCAAGGCACAGTGGATGAGCTTTTTGATCCAAACTTAATGTTGAAGGATGACACCAGTAGCAGCATGAAGAAGGAGATACGAAGTGTGATACAAATAGGGCTTCTTTGCACACAAGAAGTTCCATCACTTAGACCAACCATGTCTATGACTCTACAAATGTTATCTAAAAATATTGTACCCTTACCTTCACCTTCGAACCCCCCTTGTATACCTGAAACCGACACAGAATCAAATGAGTTTGGTCAAATCCCTGCTTTTAGGCATAGATTAAATAATCCTGCTTCACTTCCTACTGTTACACATACTTCTTTTAGTCCAAGGTAGATATATGTTTGTACAAATTTTAGAGAAATAATCATCATTATTTGTAATGATTAGTAACTTCATGTGGATTGTATAGATATTAGTGCTAACTTCGTCATTTTGCCCTTTCTGGAAAAGAGCGAATATGATTCATGTTGTAGCTCGATCACATATTTTTGTAAGAAGTTGTGGGCTGTTTATAACCTATAAGTGGAACCATTCAGGAATAGGTCGGCATTTGGCGCGTTTGATAGCGGTTAGGGAACGAGCCATTAAGAGATTGGAACCTTTAAGATGTTGAATCATTTAGTACTAAATTGTTCAATTTTATCAAACATACTTTAGTTTAATAAGATCGACATTTTTTTTTACAAAACTTACCTTCAGTTTTATGAATAATTCTTACGATTTCAAAAATAGATTATATTTTTGTGCAAGCCGATTTTTTAATTTTTTATATACTTGTGCATAAATACATCCATGCATATGTACATACACACATGATTAAGTTATTTTGAAAACTTAAAGGTATGTGATAACTTAATAAATGATTGTGTGGTGAAATGTTGAGGTTTAAGTGTGTATTTATAGTGGTTGGAAGAAATTTTAAATTTTTTAATTTTATAAAAAACAAACGGCTACTTTTTTTAACAAAAAATTTTATAAATTTTATAAAAATGGTTGGAATTTGGTTTGAACATGGTGCACCCCCATCACCATCACTCTCCTCTCTCCTCTAGTTGGTGAACCGACGTCTTTGGCTTAGCGATCCCTTGGCGGACGCCGGGGGTGGTGTTTGGTGAGCTTGGCGTGTCTGGCGAGGGGCTTGGCGCACCCTACTCCCCATAACATGATAACCAAGGATTACCAAAATTTTAGTAAAATAAAACAATTAAGATTTGCAATGATAAGTGACTTCCTATGAGGTGTATAGATATGAATGCAAAAGACATGGAAAAAGCTTAAGAAGATCAAGGATTAAATATAGCTTGATGTGGTAGGATCACACAACCGGATCCAATTGTATTTTGGTTTCAAGTTAAACAAAGTTTTGGTGAAAATAAATAAATAAAACTTATACGTTTTTTACTTGGCTGAAATCGAGACTAGGATCACAGGTGCACAAATATTATGGAGTTTGGTCGTAGGCACCCTTAAAAAAACTTGGTTAAGAAAATCATGACCGGTTACGACCAATCATAGGATCTTGAGCTCCAACAGATCAAGAGTCTGGTTATAAGTGACGGTTACATATTACTGAAACAACCAAATATTAAAAAAATAAAATAACCATTGAGTTCAAAAATCTTAAATTTTCTAAAACTCTTTTCAGATTGATTGGTTTGCTCCCTCCTTCGCCTTCCAAAATCCTCATATGAATAACAAGTTTGAAAAAGCATACGTAGGAAGTAGTCCAAAAACTTTTTTTTGTGAGTTTTTGTTATATGGTATATAATGCCTACTCTGTGCATAAGTTGTTTGAAATAATTTTTTGTTCAGTAGTTTTGATTTTTTATAAGGCTATGGGACGTTGAGCTCACTTTTTCATACCCTGCATTTTTTTTTGGGAAAACTGCAATAAAGTCCCTATGTATTGCCCGTATAATCGATTTAGCCCTTATATATATATATATATATATATATATATATATATATATATATATATATATATATATATATATATATATATATATATATATATATATTTGCAATTTAGTCCTAAATACCGGTAAACGTAATCAAAACGGGATATTTAATGGGTTAGCCGGTATCCCACCGGTACTATGCGCATGTGGCACCTTACGTGTACAAGAGAGTTTTACCCTTCCATTTCCACTGCATTCGACGTCTGGTAAATCAATTGAGAGAAAAAGTTAGGGTTTTTACAGAGTGAAACACGAAGGAAGTAGGGTTTTACTGAGAGAAACGAAGGTAAAACCCAATGGCTGTCGAATCAGAGGAAGTTCACCATGAGTCATCTGAAGAATACGACTCTGAAGAATACGAAGATGATGAGGAGGTGCTCGATACTGAGCACATAGATGTGGAAATGGAAGAAGATGGTTTCAAGACACATGGTAAAGAGAGATGCAAGGATGCTTTCCTTAACTTCAGTTCCGATTATGAAGATAATGAAGCCGATGAAGACAATGACTTAGTTGATGAAGATGAAGAAGGGTTTGGTTCAGAAGAGGAAATCGATGACACAGCAGGGGCTAATGATCTTGATTTGGGAGATGCAGTTGGTGCAGGCTTCCCCATTCATGACCCATCAGTTAAGTGGAATAAGATGAAGCCCCTTCTTGGTGAAAGGTATTAATCACCACATCAGTTGCAACAATGTCTCACTAATTATGCTATTAAGTCAGGGTATAACATTAAATTTGCGAAGTGTGACGCTGTGAGATTAACTGCCAAATGTGGTTCTAAGATGAAGTCTCAACCCTGTCCATTCAGAGTTCATGCTTCCTGGATGACTCAAGAAAAGTCTTTTCAGATTAAAACCTTAGTCGATGAGCACAAATGTGTTAGAAATTTCAATATTTCAAATTTACTGTATCCCAGATGGCTAGCAAGACACTTTTTGAAGGAGTTGAAACCTAACTTGAAGTGTAAGGAGATGCAATCAATAATTAGGACCAAATTTCATTGTGGTGTGTCTTGGTCTAAGGCTTATAGAACAAGGTGTAGAGCAATGACCATTATAGATGGTAAACTCACAGAACATTATGCTAGGGTGTGGGACTATTGTCATGAGTTACTAAGGTCAAATCCTGGTAGCACTGTCCAAGTGGGCGTCATTGTAAATCCAGATCAAACAACATACTTTCACAGGATGTATTTGTGTTTTAAAGCAATCAAGGAAGGTTGGAAAATAGGGCGTCGTAGGGTAATTGGTCTAGATGGATCTTTCTTGAAAGGGACATGTAAAGGAGAATTACTCACAACAATAGGGATGGATGCAAACAACCAAGTTTATCCAATTGCTTGGGCAGTTGTTGACAATGAAAACAAAGCTAATTGGAAATGGTTTCTGGAACTGCTCACAGAGGATCTTAATCTGCTAGATGGAGGAGGGTTTACTGTAATTTCTGATCAACATAAGGTTTGTAATTTCTTAGCATATTTATGATTTTTCCTTACCATCATCTTATATGTTTATGTATTCATTACATTGTAGGGATTGCTTGAAGCAACCAAGGAAGTACTACCAAATGTGGAGCATAGACAGTGTGCAAGACACATATATGCTAACTTTAGGAAGACCTATTCTGGAGTGGAGTTCAAGAATATGTTCTGGGCAGCTTCCTTTTCAACTGTAGAGAGTAAATTTCTGAGGAAAATGGATGATATAAAAGAGGTTAATCCCAATGCTTATGAACATTTGCTTGCAATACATCCTCAGACATGGTGCAGGGCATTTTTTAGGACTGATGTAGCATGTGAGGCAGTTGAAAATGGCATTGCAGAGTGCTTCAACGCCATCATACTGGATGCTAGAAAGAAACCCCTTCTAGCAATGTTTGAAGAAATTAGATTATACATGATGGATAGGTTCTACCATATGTTACAAAAGGCAGAAAAGTGGGAATCAGTGGTTTGTCCAGCTGCTATCAAGAAAATGAACAAGTTTGGAGAGGATTTGAGGTTTGTCTTATCATTTTTATTGTTCCTTATCATCATTATTCTAATTTCATTGTTCTGATTTCATTTAGTAATGTCATTGTAGGAATTGGAATGTGAATCCAAGTGGACCATTTATTTTTGAAGCCAGGAATGGATTAGAAGGGTACATGGTTGACTTACAAAGCAAAGTGTGCAGCTGTAGGCTTTGGGATATCTCAGGAATTCCATGTGTACATGCACAGTGTGCAATATTATTCACTGTACAAGATCTTGTTCAATTCATAAGTGAGTCATGAATCTCAAGATAAATACTCCCAAAATAAGATGAAGGTTACTGGAATAGGAAGGACAATCCAATGCAAAAACTGTCTTCAAAGGGGTCATAACAAGGCATCCTGTAAGAATCCCAAGGTCACACCAGAACCCAAACCCAAGAAAAAAATGGGTAGACCAAGATTGGATCCTGATATCAGTCATTGGACTAGAGGTGGTGTAAGAGGTGGTGTCAGAGGTAGTAGAGGTGGTGTAAGGGGTAGTAGAGGTGGTACAGGGGGTAAGAGAGGTGGTGCAGTGGGTAACACAGGTGGTGCAAAGGGTAACAGAGGTGGTAAAGGTAGTAAAAGAGGTGGTAGGGGTAGTAAAAGAGGTGGTAGGGGCAGTAAGACATCTGTTGGAATTGAAGGTGGTGGAGTGGCTGAAGTTGAAGGTGGTGGAGTTGAAAATGAGGATGACACTATTCCTGAAAAATATTTAGTCCATTTATGGAAGGCAATGCAAGATTTGAAACTATCAGGGTATTCAATTGAAGAAATTAAAAATACACTTAGTCTGACAGATTCACATATGAAACAGCTCAATGATTACAGTGACACTATTGAACAAGTTCTTCCTATGTCTATGGTAAACCCTCTATATTACCTTAATGTTAACATTCATTTATGTTATTAATTGCTTGATGTTTTACAGGAAGAGGAGTATCCACCTCAGACTGAGACACAAGATGGGGCTGAAGAAATTATCCCTGAGACACAACCAGAGAGTGAAGAAGATGGGATGTGTTAGGACTTCTGCAAATTCAGCATTGGAGTTGGATTAGGGTGTTAAGGGTAGTAAGGGTATTTTGGTACATCTTTTGTGAATGCTACTTTTGTGCATCTTTTGTGAATGCTACTTTTGTACATCTTTTGTGAATGCCCTTAAATTACTAATAGCCATATTTTGTACATCTTTTGTAAACACATTGAAACATTGTGAATGCCCTTAACATGGTTGGTAATGACATATTGAAGTTTGTTGCTTAATTATTATAGTTGACAAGTGTGCATATTTCATGGTTATATTTGTCAAGTGTACACCATTTATGCAAACCATAATAACATATTTCCATTTCATTAACCAAAACATTACATGATCCACAAGAACATTTATCCATTATATCATGATAACAAGCCAAAAGATTACATCATCCCTACCATACCATAATACCCTACAACTTACACTAAACTAACCATACATCATCCCTACAATGAAACAAACGAAACAAACCATCATCCACTTGCAGAATCCAAATTCATTACCAGGCACATGTGTATTCTCACGCATTGCAATTTGATTATCAAGTTCAAGAGCATTCACAGGGGCAATAGGGACATCGACATTCACAGGGGCAATAGGGCCATCAACAGGTATTTCACCTTCATTAACAGGGTTATTTAAAGGAATAACTACACCCCCATTAGCAACAGCTCCTAATTCATACATTCTTTCTTTATACCACTTATTCAACATTGGTGGGTCAATCCAACGAAAATACTCACAGTCCTTCTCTTCATCCTACATAACATAGAAAGATGCATGTTTTTAACATAGAAGAATGGTAATTTAGTGAAATAGAAGAATCTGAGTGAGATTTGAAGATTATATACCATGTAATTTGGGCAACCAAAAAACCTCCGACCTGGATTCTTTCGAGACCATGATGTCCACATTCCAGCCATATTTCCACAATAGCACATTCTGATGTTGGTGCTTGACGAACTCGACATCGATTTCCTGTTTCCAATTTGCCCTAATCGTTCGCTTCTTTGACTGTCGAATGAAGAAGAAGAGCTCGATTCATTGATTTAGCCCTCTTAAATGGCACGTAGGATGTTATTTAACATGATGACTTCCACGTAAGCTACCACATCAGTTAGATACCGGCTAACCCATTAAATATCCCGTTTTGATTACGTTTACCGGTATTTAGGACTAAATTGCAAAAAATAAATATATAGGGGCTAAATCGATTATACGAGCAATACATAGAGACTTTATTACAGTTTTCCTTTTTTTTCGTCACTTTCTATCTTTCACTTCCCCTTTGACTTATGATCATTCTTCTCTTCTTTATTTTTTTAATTCATATATAAGAAATTTAAACTATTTATAAAGATATACAAAAATTAATAAAATTCAAACTTTTTCATTAAATTAAACTAACAAAAATTGAAAATTACATAATAATAACAATTAAAACAAACCTAAAGATATTATACTATATTTTGTTATTTCTTTCTTTTAACGTTAAAGCCTTTTAAAGGGCGTTTACGATCTGTGCTCATTATCAACAATTATAAATTTTTATATAGTTTTTCCTCGTGTTTTTTTTCTTTTTACGTAATTTTTCTTTTTCCAACTCCAGATATTCAGTAAAACTCGTATAAATAGCTCGTACTGGATCCCGATAAACTAGACAAAAAAAACTTTCTTTTTTCCTTTTTCCCTACCTATCAGGCGGTAGAAAACGTATTTTTAGATTTATGTAAAATTAAAATGACAAAACTACCCATATTTATTAACTAATCCTTTTACTAATTTATTTAACAAGATTATGACATCCTGTTAAAACTCAAGCGAAGTGAAGTGACGTGAAGACATGATATTTAAAGTTCGGTAAATGTTATCATGTCGTTATCAACAAGATAAGTACAATGCTGAGCTTAATGGATATTTTCTTCATTTTGCTAAATTAACTAAAACTTAATTTGAAATTATGGGCATGTCACCTTAGCAAGAATCAATGAAGGTGAAGCAATTAGTTATAAATGAGAGACATCATTATGTGCATCATCATGATGCAATGCGATGGCGATGGCCCATGGACATAAATCACATGATTCCCTAAGCATGCCATAGTGGAAAGAGGAACATTCCAACCCGCATCTAAATCATGGTTTATGAATAACATAAATCCCCACTTGGGTTCCTCATGCATATTCGTATGCATTTGCATACCTCATGTCCACAATCATATCCATCCATATCCTCATATTTTGTTTAAACCGATCTTTAATATATTTAAGAAAAAAAATCAAATAATATCATATTTGGTGTGATTTTTACAGAATAATCAACTTTTTTTTCTTTATAATACAAAATAACCACGAATTTCAACACGATGGATGTTGTATATATTTTGATTATAGGGACATTAGGACATATTTCGAATTACTTATTAACTTCAGAGTTCTCAGATATATTGCAATCCTTGAATATTTCACAGTTTTTTTATCCATAAATATTTCACAATCGCATTATTGTATTTCACATTAGCTAGCAACGTTTAAAAGTGCTACTCTATATTTTATTTTATATTTGAATTTAGATTTTCTTTTTTACTTTCAATCTTAGACCATCCATACAAAGTACAAACAGTATCTTAATAATCTTTAAAATATTTGATATCATTTTTTTTTTCACTTTCAATCTTTGACTCGGTAATATTTTACCGATGAGGGGCTGTTTTCTTGGCATGCTAAGTTCATAGGCCGGTATATGCCGAAGTAAGTCGGATGTGTCGAGTCGAGGGATGGTGTTGAGCCCACTCCTCCAGCCATAGGGTCTAGAATGACAAAGCGAATAAAGTAACATATAAGTGATAATCAAATGGTAAAAGAGATGATCGACACCTAACATGTATACATAGGGACATACAAATGACCCTGAACATATAATATGTATTAAACATATAAAATTCATATTAATTTAGCTATTGATGACTGTTTTTAGTATTATTGATATTGATATTATCTTAAAACTATTTATTTTGATGTTTTTTTATATCATTTTTTTATTTTTTTAATATGATTAATTTAGAAAATGCTATTGGTATTTTGAGTTTATCTATTTTATCTTAGAATAATATGTAACAATGTTTACATTTTAATAAGTGAACCATGTTATAATATTCATAGTTTAATATTGTGAATTGTTTGGTTCTAACCGTTTCTAACCTTTTTATAGTTTCTTTGAACTTTGATATATATATATATATATATGTATGCAGAATTTTGTATATACCCTTGTTAAACATCAAAATATCGTATTTATCCGGCCTAAACTTTAAATATCATATTTGCCATTCTTAATGTTTTTTAATATCATATATATCCAAATCTATGTTTTTGATAATTTTTATTAATTTATAATTTTTTTACCATTTTAAAATCATTAAAACTAAAAACAAAAACCAAATGGACAATATTGCCCTTCCTTTACAAACACAAACACAGGTTTCATTTAATTCAGACGAGGTTTTACTCTCGGCTTCATCCTCAAGCCGTCGCCGAGTTCCTCACGATCGCATTTGTCTCCTCACCATCGTCGGCGTCCCGCGGCTTCTTTTTTTGCTGACGGCATTTCTTAGTCGCATAAAGGGTACGTCGATTAGAAGGATGTATTTGCCAGTCGCAAGAGACAAACAACAATGGATCCTACGTTGCTTTCGCAAATTTCGCATTCTAGATATCTTTATCGTCTCTGTCACGTTCTAATTCTCTCCATGTCGTCCCAAATTCAACTTACTAGTTAATCATCTTTGAATCGATGTCGATGGTAAAACGTCAATCGTCCTTGGAAGGAAAAAAAGCTAATCGATCCACCATTTTTTTGGTTTGAGTATGAATGAATCTCAGTCGTATCAATTAAGGTTTTGATTTTGGTTTTGGATCAGTGAATGAAGCATTCGAGAGAGTAGCGAGCTACAGATTGATGCGATGAATTTAACACCATTTGTGCAGCCCTGCAAACACCAACCCACTCGCTTTACTCTTTTCATCTTTTGGTCTACTCTCGATTGGATGTTGTTGCACAAACTCAAAAATCATCCACCCTAGTCAACATTGACAGCTACTTTAATTGGTATTATGCTTCTGGAGCATTCTCGACAGCTGTTGCTTTTACAGTAGTGGTTTACATTCAAGATGGGTATGGTTGGAAGGTTGGATTTTCAGTTCCTGTGTTGTTCATGGTTTTGTTCTCTCTCATGTTCTTACTTGGATTGAATCAGATGGTTTGGAATATTTTTACAAAATGTTAAAACCAAATGAATGAAACTTCTTAATAGGCTTTGATTTCATGATCTAATACTTTTACACTTGCACCTTAAAATTATAAAGCTTTACTTTGTAGTCATTCATAAATTTCTAAACCACTTGTGGATTTGATGTACGTAGAATGTGTAGGATTACATAAAGATTGGAGTTTAAATAAGGTTGAAATCAATTACATGATGTGTATTGCTTGTGAGCGAGAACAGGAGGGAATAAGAGGCTGCACGTAAGAGGTTGAGATAGGAAAGAAGCCAGGCTGTTGTGATTAAGGAAGAAATCTTGCGATCGTAATTAACTTCAAACATGTGACCTGTTACATTGCAATTTAGAACTAAGGCCAATATTGTCCATTTGACTTTTGTTTTTAGTGTTA